AACTTACCGTTTTCTAATAATAAAGAAGCGCTTTTTATTGAATTTTCATTTTCTTCCAAGAGGGGCTGAATAGGCTTATCTCTCGCCACTGATGTAGTCTCATAGAGAACAGCACAAACATAACACATTCTCTGTGCAGAGACATGAGAGGCGAAACTGTTGTGAATTCTTACTGGTGAAGATTTTTATTGAAGGGTATTTTCTAGACATAACTACCGCAAGAAACTGAAAATAATTTAAACAGAAGGTTCTATTTGTCTATGTTCTTTGATCAACTGTCTTTGCTCTGTAGCCCATAAACTTTTCTATATTCAGTTCAATTAAATTAAATGCTGTAATTTGTATTCATAAGGAAATGAAATATATATACATTTTTTCAAGAGATTCTGTTTGCTATTTGCCTTCATATGATTAATTGATGTACCTTTCTACGAACAGAATATATACAATATTATTTAATTTCGTTTTAAAGACTGTTGTGGACACAGGAGAGAACATGAACGATTATTTATGTGATTTTTTAAAAAGAGTAGTCCTTTCAAATGAAAAACCATAACTCAATGTTAAATAATTTAGAAAAAAATTGTTTCACTCAAATAGACAACAGAGCGTTGTCTTGCTATCACATTTTTATGTGTATCCCTGTATGCTAAGGGTAAATGGTTCTGATGAGGACCTAGCAGTGATGGTGTAAAATATAAAATGGTCAACACGCATCTGATAAGGTTGAAGCTGTTTAGTTAATTATTTTTCCCCCTATGTTTTTCAAGAAACAGAAATGTGTTCGCTTGTATCGTCCTTGGTCATGAGTCATGAGTCACCTAACTGGGATAGTCTATTAAAAGAAGATGCTCACCCAAGCAGTGTGTCTTTTAGCACGGATATCATGAAATAAGCACAAAGAAAATTGTGCTTTGACGTTAATTGGAATCTCCCACTGTTTGCATTTGTTCTAAGATAAAGGAAAAGTCATGGAAAAGAGAAAGAAAAGTTCTAAGATACTTTTTTTGATACATATGGTAATTAAAAAGTGTGACGTGCAATTGAGACAAGTAGCTAAGCATCTAATCCTATGGCTCAGTGCTTCTGCCAGAGCTCCAATTAGTTTGACAGCAATTCAGTTATAGATAATATTTTTGCACAGTAAGAAAACAGATGAAGAGAAATCCATCATTTCAGTGAGATTTCTCCAGAGTTTAGATGTTATTCTCTATTTATTATTTATTTTTTCATTTTCATGAAATTAAGTACAAAGAGTTGTTTGATGCGTCATCTAAGTAGCATCCTATGTCAACCAAAGAAGAAAAACATGTTGCATACATACCCCTGCTCAATATAGTATGTTCATGTTTGACTTAACCCTTGTTTTGGAACAGATCAGTTAGACAGTTGGCTGTTCATTTGATGTTGATTTGAGTTTGACCAGACTCCCCACTAGTATTAGTAATGAAAAAGAGAGGGAGAAACAAGGAGAGGGAGAGAGAGAAAGGGAGAGGGGGGAGTCTAGACCCGTAACAGGTTGTCTGATTTCTCCTACTCACAACCAAGACACTACCCACAGCATTACCCACAGCATAGGTAGCCAGCCTGACACACACACACACACACACATACACACACACCGTATTTCCCATGCCTTGGCACTAGTTGGCAGACATCAGGTATGCACCCCAGCGATAAATCTTAATTACCCAATGGGGTTCGGGCCACCCCATCATTCCATGTCAAAACTCAAAAACAAGACCAGCGAGACGGAGACAGAGAGAGAAAGCTGGGGGGAAGATAGAATGTTCAATATACTAGAGAGAGAGACAGAGAGAGAGCGAGAGAGACAGAGAGAGAGAGAGAGAGAGAGCCACAGAGAGAAAGCCATAGAGGGAGAGCCACAGAGAGAGAACCACAGAGAGAGAACCACAGAGAAGATTGTGGTGGGTCTCATGGTGGGTTTTCTGGTCTTATCTTCTTTTTACTGAGAACACGAGAGCAGCGCCAGTCGGCTCATGCCAGCACTGTCACACCTAATGTTGTCAGAAACGGGAGGGAGAGATCTACTTTGTGCTTTTGCGCAGCGGCGTATGAATACATTGGTCGCAGCCTGTCGGGGGAGGGGAGGGGGGCTGCTTGCTGAGTCATCGCGGTCAGGTTGACCTGTGTAAAGTGCCCCCCCCCTACCCCTCCCCTTCCCGTGGCTTGACTTGTTCAGAGTAATGGTTAATCGTGGGAAGTCTGGTGTTAGGGTAAGTGTGCCTGTGTGGAGGGAGGCCTGCCGGGGGGTCGGAGGTCGGTGCCTGCGGGGGTTTTGTCGTGCCGTGGGGCGACAGGGCCAGTCAGGCGGAGAGACAGTGTGTTGTTCTTTTTCCGACGGAGGGGAAAAGCCCTGTACAAGCAGAGCAGGCTGGGAACAGGGGGATGCGAATTCTCCCGGAATAAAAGCAGAGAAATATCCTCCTTTTGTTTTGCCTTGTGGTGTTCCTGCCACAGCTGCTTTGGGTTTTGGGAGGCTCGGTTCCCCTCCTCCAGTGTCTTTTAGCCGTCCCGTCCTGCTGTCGGGAGGCGACAGAGTGTTTCGGACACCCCTACCATCATGCTCATCTCCACAACACCTCATGTCCACTAACACTTCCTGTGTGGATGGGGTCAATGTGAATCTTTGTACAGGAAATGCTTTCACATTATACCCCCCCCCCCCCATGCTTGAGTGTGTTTGTGTCTACGTGTGTACACTCTGGTCATGTAGTGTATTGTGGTAGATTCCAGTCCAGTGGTGTTGTTGGAGTCCAGGCTATGTTCACCAGGCTCTAGCAGGGTATAATTGACTCTCTCCCTCAGACCCTGCAGTAGACATGATAGCCACATGCCCCGACACACACACTTGTTTCCATTGGCTGTCAGTTGTGCTGTAATCCCATGGAAATTAGGAAATGTTCCATATTCATGGAATCCGCAGGAGCAGGATGAAGAACTGCACATATCTAAGAAAGTCAAACAGAATGTACTGCCTGGGTGCACAGACCATCCGCTTACTCTCTGCACTTTATCTTAATGGGGAAGTGCCCGTGTCGATAAACTATACTGAACAAAAATATAAATGCAACATGCAACAATTTTAAAGATTTTACTGAGTTACAGTTCATATAAGGAAATCAGTCAATTGAAATAAATGTATTAGGCCCTAATCTATTATTTCACATGACTGGGAATACAGATATGCATCTGTTGGTCACAGATACAAAAAAAAAAAGTAGGGGCGTGTATCAGAAAACCAGTCAGTTTCTGGTGTTACCACCATTTGCCTCATGCAGTGCGGCACATCTCCTTTGTATAGTTGATCAGGCTGTTGATTGTGGCCACTCCTCTTCAATGGCAGTGCGAAGTTGCTGGATATTAGCGGGAACTGGAATACGCTGTCGTGCACGTCGATCCAGAGCATCACAACCATGCTCAATGGGTGACATGTCTGGTGAGTGTGCAGGCCAGACATATTGGGACATTTTGAGCTTCCAGGAATTGTGTACAGATCCTTGCGACATGTGGCCGTGCATTATCATGCTGAAACATGAGGTGATGTCGGCGGATGAATGGCATGACAATGGGCCTCAGGATCTCATCACGGTATCTCTGTGCATTCAAACTGCCATCGATAAAATACATTGGGGTTCGTTGTCCGTAGTTTATGCCTGCCCATACCATAACCCCACCACCACCATGGGGCACTCTGTTCACGTTGACAACAGCAAACCGCTCGCCCACACGACGCCACACATCTGCCATCTGCCCGGTACAGTTGAAACCGCTATTCATCTGTGAAGAGCACACTTCTCCAGCGCGCCAGTGGCCATTGAAGGTGAGTGAACTGCAGTCAGGTCATGACCCTGGTGAGGATGACGAGCACGCAGATGAGCTTTCCTGAGACGGTTTCTGACAGTTTGTGCAGAAATTATTCGGTTGTGCAAACCCACAGTTTTATCAGCTGTCCGGGTGGCTGGTCTCTGACAATCACGCAGGTGAAGAAGCCGGATGTGGAGGTCATGGGCTGGTGTGGTTACACGTAGTCTGCGGTTGTGAGGCCAGTTGAAGGTACTGCCAAAATCGGCTTATGGTAGAACAATGAACATTAAATTACCCGTCAACAGCTCTGATGGACATTCCTGCAGTCAGCATGCCAATTGCACACTCCCTCAAAACTTGAGACATCTGTGGCATTGTGTTGTGTGACAAAACTGCACATTTTAGAGTGGCCTTTTATTGTCCCCAGCACAAGGTGCACCTGTGTAATGATCATGCTGTTTAATCAGCTTCTTGATATGCCACACCTGTCAGGTGGATGGATTATCTTGGCAAACGAGAAATGCTCACTAACTGAGAGAAATAAGCTTTTTGTACATGTGGAACATTTCTGGGATCTTTTATTACAGCTATTAACATGGGACCAACACTTAACATATTGTGTTTATGTTTTTGTTCAGTGTATATCAAATCTTTGCATTTGAGTGTGTGTTAGTTTGCAAGGTTGAGATTGCAAGTGAAAATCCAAGTGCACGTTAAGTGTAAGTGTTTATGTTTAGCTATACTTCGTTGCGTATGTGTGCACATGTTTGATAGTCATTTCCAACACTGGGTTTCAAGACCTCAAATGATGCATCTTAAATAGGCCTAGTCAATATCAGATAGGAATCCTGTGGCTTGTATGTATGCACTTCAAATTCTGCAAGAGCTAGCTACCTGGTCCTTGAAGAGAATTGGTATGTGTAAGACAAACTACATCCTCCTTTCCATTCTTCCAATTCTAATGAAGAATTGTTGTTGTTTTTTGGTAGAGACAGGCCTCTTATCCTCCCAGGTAATGAGTTGGGCCGACTGGGGGCTTAGCTGGGTACTAGCTGCCTGTGTGCCTCTTGATGTGCCGCCTGTGATTCTCTGGTCTCACTTTCTCAAGTTAAGAGTCCTGTTGTCTGAGTTTGAGTGACTAACTGACTGAGCATTTTCTCTTCTCTCCGCAGGCACAGAAATCGTGGATCGAGAGAGCCTTCAACAAGAGAGAATGTGTTCATATCATAGTGAGCACCAAAGACCCCCATAGGTAAGTGAAAAGTATTAGAATACAACTTTGTTGTTTAATGTGAATGGGAAATTCATATTTTTGCTGTCTTACACTATATATATAAAAGTATGTCGTCACCCCTTCAAATTAGTGGATACGGCTATTTCAGCCACTCCTGTTGCTGAAGTGTATAAAATCGAGCACACAGCCATGCAATCTCCATAGATGAACATTTGCAGTAGAATGGCCTTACTGAAGAGCTCAATGACATTCAACGTGGCACCGTCATAGGACGCCACTTTCCAACAAGTCAGTTTGTCAAATTTCGGCCCTGCTAGAGCTGCCTTGGTCAACTGTAAGTGCTGTTATTGTGAAGTGGAGACGTCTAGGAGCAACAACGGCTCAGCTGCGAATTGGTAGGCCACACAAGCTCACAGAACGGGACCGCCGAGTGCTGAAGCGCGTAGTGCATTAAAATTGTCTGTCCTTGGTTGCAACACTCACTACCGAGTTCCAAACTGCCTCTGGAAGCAAGGTCAGCACAAGAACTGTTCGTCGGGAGCTTCATGAAATGGGATCCATGGCCGAGCAGCCGCACACAAGCCTAAGATCACCATGCGCAATGCCAAGCGTCGGCTGGAGTGGTGTAAAGCTTGCCGCCATTGGAGGGATGAATCACGTTTCACCATCTGGCAGTCCGACGGATGAATCTGGGTTTGGTGGATGCCAGGAGAATGCTACCTGCCCGAATGCATAGTTCCAACTGTTAAGTTTGGTGGAGGAGGAATAATGGTCTCGGGCTGTTTTTCCTGGTTCGGGCTAGGCCCCTTAGTTCCAGTGAAGGGAAATCTTAATGCTGCAGCACACAATGACATTCTAGAAGATTCTGTGCTTCCAACATTGTGGCAACAGTTTGGAGAAGGCCCTTTCCTGTTTCAGCATGACAATGCCCCCGTGCACAAAGCGAGGTCCATACAGAAATGGTTTGTCAAGATCGGTGTGGAAGAACTTGACTGGCCTGCACAGAGCCCTGACCTCAACCCTTTGGGATGAATTGGAAAGCCGACTGCGAGCCAGGCCTAATCGCCCAACATCCGTGCCCGACCTCACTAATGCTCTTGTGGCTGAATGGAAGCAAGTCACCGCAGAAATGTTCCAACATCTAGAGGAAAGTCTTCCCAGAAGAGTGGAGGCTGTTATAGCAGCAAATGGGGGACAAACTCCATATTAATGCCCATGACTTTGAATGTTCGACGAGCAGGTGTCCACATACTTTTGGTCATGTATTGTATGTTATCCCCAATCTCCCGAACACCACACATGGCATTGTGGAAGCAGCATACATGGTTGCCAAGTATACAAGCAGCTGTGTTAGAAATTAGCAGAATTGTTCAATATTTCCTGGCCAAATCAACTCAAAGACTTCGTTTGAAGTTACTTAAAGGTGATTTGCCCCCCAGCTCTTCAATTTATTTGTAGCTAGAGGTGGCTAAAGTTAGCTGTTTAAAGAAATCAGAACTGTGAATTACTGCCAGGCTAAGGAACCATATAACTGTAATGTCTAAAACATCAAACTTTCTAAACTTCACCACACATAAATGAGACTTAGCTTGACTGAGTCTCATTCACATTTTATTTGACCTTTATTTTAGCAGGGAGCCCCATTGAGACCAAGGTCTCTTTAGCAAGGGAGCCCTGCAGATGTTTCATTCTAAAACAAAATGGAGGTATCTCTAAAGGACTTTATTAAATATGTGAATATTTAAATGAATCTGCCATATGTTCTGCATACGTGAACATTCAGAACAAGCATAGCAAACACACATTAAAATGCTGTGAATCACCTAAATCACTCTATTTCTAGGGAGTTACATCACACTGACAAAAAGCATGTGATTGGTAGAACGTAACACTTGTCACAGACATATTTCTGCATTAAATAAACCATGCTTTCAAGAACCATGTGTCAAAAATGACATGTAATGAAGCAGTGAAAACAGAATAAGTAAAGCTCCAGGATCAAATTGTTACTCATCTGTAAAAACTGGGTCGACAACATGCAAGTGAAGAGAAATTATGTTTTTCTTTGATCTCAGGCCGGCGTTTACAGTGGGGGAAAAAAGTATTTAGTCAGCCACCAATTGTGCAAGTTCTCCCACTTAAAAAGATGAGAGAGGCCTGTAATTTTCATCATAGGTACACGTCAACTATGACAGACAAATTGAGAAAAGAAATTCCAGAAAATCACAATGTAGGATTTTTAATAAATTTATTTGATGGTGGAAAATAAGTATTTGGTCACCTACAAACAAGCAAGATTTCTGGCTCTCACAGACCTGTAACTTCTTCTTTAAGAGGCTCCTCTGTCCTCCACTCGTTACCTGTATTAATGGCACCTGTTTGAACTTGTTATCAGTATAAAAGACACCTGTCCACAACCTCAAACAGTCACACTCCAAACTCCACTATGGCCAAGACCAAAGAGCTGTCAAAGGACACCGGAAACAAAATTGTAGACCTGTACCAGGCTGGGAAGACTGAATCTGCAATAGGTAAGCAGCTTGGTTTGAAGAAATCAACTGTGGGAGCAATTATTAGGAAATGGAAGACATACAAGACCACTGATAATCTCCCTCGATCTGGGGCTCCACGCAAGATCTCACCCCGTGGGGTCAAAATGATCACAAGAACGGTGAGCAAAAATCCCAGAACCACACGGGGGGACCTAGTGAATGACCTGCAGAGAGCTGGGACCAAAGTAACAAAGCCTACCATCAGTAACACACTACGCCGCCAGGGACTCAAATCCTGCAGTGCTAGACGTGTCCCCCTGCTTAAGCCAGTACATGTCCAGGCCCGTCTGAAGTTTGCTAGAGTGCATTTGGATGATCCAGAAGAGGATTGGGAGAATGTCATATGGTCAGATGAAACCAAAATATAACTTTTTGGTAAAAACTCAACTCATCGTGTTTGGAGGACAAAGAATGCTGAGTTGGGGTGGAAACATCATGCTTTGGGGCTGTTTTTCTGCAAAGGGACCAGGACGACTGATCCGTGTAAAGGAAAGAATGTATGGGGCCATGTATCGTGAGTTTTTGAGTGAAAACCTCCTTCCATCAGCAAGGGCATTGAAGATGAAACGTGGCTGGGTCTTTCAGCATGACAATGATCCCAAACACACCGCCCGGGCAACGAAGGAGTGGCTTCGTAAGAAGCATTTCAAGGTCCTGGAGTGGCCTAGCCAGTCTCCAGATCTCAACCCCATAGAAAATCTTTGGAGGGAGTTGAAAGTCTGTGTTGCCCAGCGACAGCCCCAAAACATCACTGCTCTAGAGGAGATCTGCATGGAGGAATGGGCCAAAATACCAGCAACAGTGTGTGAAAACCTTGTGAAGACTTACAGAAAATGTTTGACCTGTGTCATTGCCAACAAAGGGTATATAACAAAGTATTGAGAAACTTTTGTTATTGACCAAATACTTATTTTCCACCATAATTTGCAAATAAATTCATAAAAAATCCTACAATGTGATTTTCTGGATTTCTTTTCCTCATTTTGTCTGTCATAGCTGACGTGTACCTATGATGAAAATTCCAGGCCTCTCTCATCTTTTTAGTGGGAGAACTTGCACAATTGGTACTTTTTTCCCCCACTGTACATCATTTCAGAGTAAAGGTTCCAGTTGTCTGCCGTCAGGGGCTCCTGTCTGGACCTGTCACATTTCAACTCCATTATGTCCAATGTATGTGACTATTGACTACTAGTATGTCTAATGGCTATGATATTAGGAGCATAATTCTAGCACATTTTCAGAGGCTTTATCAGAGATTTGTAGGAAGCAGAGCGAGTTGGCTGCATGGGGTTTGTGTGAACAGCCTTTGAAATCCATTCTCTCACAGTAGATGAAAGGGAACCTGCCCGTCATGTCACTTCCCCCTTCCCAGCTCTAGTGCACATCTGGGGTCTGTTCAGAAGGATGCAACGTTCGGCAACGTTCAGAATGTTTCACCTCACCTCTGACTACCTGACCCTCTCTTACGCCTCCCCAGGTGCTGTTGCGGCCGTCTGATTGGTCAGCACGTTGGCCTGCCCCCCGGTATCTCCTCCAGTCAGAATGACAAGGCGGAGCGTCTGGCTAAGAATGACAGCCTATCAGAGAAATGGTCAATCAGCAAACACACCCAGCTCAGCCCCACCGACGCCTTCGGAACCATTGAGTTCCAGGGAGGCGGCCACTCCAACAAAGCCATGGTGACCACTTTATACCTGGGGTTGAATTATATAACACTCCCATTTCATAGATAAAGGGTGGATAGACAGATAAGGACATATTTATAATGTATTAACATACAGATAAGGCCTATCCACATGACTGCAGACAAAGATATTGATAAGAGTAAACAATTCTGATTCCACTGAGCTCATTATATGTATGTAATCAAATGTATTGAACAGCTTTACTGTACTTAGCCTTTCACAAAATATCTCTCATTATAATCTATATTCTACATTGATGTTATACCAAACAAATGACAGCTATTGGTTGTTTGTATGTTCATTTGCAGTACGTGCGTGTGTCCTACGACACCAAGCCAGACCTCTTGCTGCACCTGATGACCAAGGAGTGGCAGCTGGACCTTCCCAAGCTGCTCATCTCGGTGCATGGGGGCCTGCAGAACTTTGAGCTGCAGCCCAAACTCAAACAGGTCTTTGGCAAGGGCCTCATCAAGGCTGCAATGACAACCGGAGCCTGGATCTTCACCGGCGGGGTCAATACAGGTGGGCTGGGTGGGTGGAGGCATGAAATAGGCCCACTTGCAGGCTAATAACAACCACGTGCTGTGACGTTGTTACCCATTAACCCTACGCTTCTGTTTATCGCTGCTCTTGTGTTGTGTTGTGGGTGAGAAAAATCAATACAAGTGTTAATAAAAAAGTATTTATAAAATGCTTAACCCTAATGCTCACCCTAACCTTGACCCTAGCCGCAACATTACATTTGGGTTTAATCTGGCAGGCGGGTGGTAACCTCGAAGGGTTAGGTAACAGAAACAGAAAGAGAAGAGAGAAACAGAGGGGCAGAGGTTAGATATAAAGGAAGTAAAAAAATGGGGGGGGGGGGGGGGAGACAGATGGAGAGAAACAGAAGAAATAGAGGAAAGAAAAAGAGTTTGGGAAATTGATGGAGCGGACGATTTCGGGGGCAAAAGGAAGTGGACAGTGAGTGTCAAGTAGAGGGATGAAATGAGATTCCCCTCAGGTGTGACTGGGGGGAGATGGAGAGAGGGGGAGAGAGATTCTCTCACACTCTCACACTCTCTCTCTCTCTCTCTCTCTCTCTCTCTCTCTCTCTCTCTCTCTCTCTCTCTCTCTCTCTCTCTCTCTCTCTCTCTCTCTCTCTCTCTCTCTCTCTCTCTCTCTCTCTCTCTCTCTCACATATCACAAACATACACTCAGGGGTGATCCGGCATGTGGGTGATGCGCTAAAGGACCATGCCTCTAAATCTCGGGGGAAGATCTGTACTATTGGCATCGCCCCCTGGGGCATCGTGGAGAACCAGGAGGACCTGGTGGGAAAAGACGTAAGTTACAGTGTGTGTGTGCGTGCTTGCGTGAGTGCTTGCGAGTGTGTGTGTGTGTGCCCGTGTTTGTGAGTCAAATCAAATGTATTTGTCACATGCTTCGTAAACAACAGTGAAATGCTTACTTACGGGCCCTTCCCAACAATGCAGAGAGAAAAAATTATAACACAAGGAATAAATACACAATGATATATACATTCTTAGAAAAAAGGGTTCCAAAAGGGTTCTTCAGCTGTCCCCATAGGAGAACCCTTTTTGGTTCCAGGTAAAACCCTTTTTGGTTCCAGGTGGAACCCTCTCTGGAAAGGGTTCTACATGGAATCCAAAACGTTTCTACTTTGAACCAAAAGGGTTCTACCTGGAACCAAAAGGGTTCATCAAAGGGTTATCCTATGGGGACAGACGAAAAACCCTTTTAGGTTCTATATAGATAGCACCTTTTTTTCTAAGAGTGTACACAGGGTACCAGTACCGAGTCAATGTGCAGGGGTACAAGGTAAATGAGGTTGATATATACATATAGGTAGGGTTAAGGTGGCTAGGCAACAGGATAGATAGTAAACAGTAGCAGCAGCGTATGTGATGAGTCAAAAGAGTTAAAGGGTCAATGCAGATAGTCCGGGCAGCTATTTGGTTAACTATTTAGCAGTCTTATGGCTTGGGGGTAGAAGCTGTTCAGGGTCTTATTGGTTCCAGACTTGGTGCATCAGTACCGCTTGCCGTGCGTTAGCAGAGAGAACAATCTATGACTTGAGAAGCTGGAGTCTTTGACAATCTTTAGGGCCTTCCTCTGACACCGCCTGGTATAGAGGTCCTGGATGGCAGGGAGCTCGGCCCAGTGATGTACTAGGCTGTACGCACTACCCTCTGTAGCGCCTTGCGTTCGGATGCCAAGCCGTTGCCATACCAAGTGGTTATGCAGCTGTATAACTTTTTGAGGATCTGAGGGCCCATGCCAAATCTTTTTAGCCTCCTGGGCTGTCTCATCGTCGTCGGTGATCAGGCCAACCACTGTTGTGTTGTCAGCAAACTGAATGATGGTGTTGGAGTTGTTCGTGGCCACACAGTTGTTGGTGAACAGGGAGTACAGGCGGGGACTAAGCACGCACCCCTGAGGGGCCCCCGTGTTGAGGGTCAGCGTGGCGGATGTGTTGTTGCCTACCTTCACCACCTGTGGGCGGACCGTCAGGAAGTCTAGGATCCAGTTGCAGAGGGTGGTGTTCAGTACCAGGGACCTAAGCTTAGTGATCAGCTTGGAGGGCACTATGGTGTTGAACAAGTGCATGCATGCGTGTGTACCCATACTGTATGTGTGTGTCTGATACTGTATTTTTTTGGTGTATGGGTGTTTTGATCTAGAGCACTACACCTACAATAAACTTGACCAGAGAGAGTATATTGTCTTTGACAGTTTATAATATTAACCTGCTGAGTAAGCATAATGTGTTGATGAAAACTTTGTCGTGGTCCAACAGGTTGTCCGACCATACCAGACCATGTCCAACCCGCTGAGCAAGCTGACTGTGCTCAACAGCCTGCACTCCCACTTCATCCTGGCCGATAATGGGACCACAGGGAAGTACGGTGCTGAGGTCAAACTCCGCAGACAGCTGGAGAAACACATCTCACTGCAGAAGATCAACACACGTGAGTGGAGCCCGCCCCTGTCAATCACACCAAAAGCCAATGACAGCCTGTGAAATTAAAGGAAAATACCTGCACACTGTTCAAATAATGACCTCCCAACATCGCTGTATTTACTTCTGGGAGAGTGCATTAATTAAATATTGTTCAGGTATTTCCCTTCATATCCCCTAAGTCATAAACAGTACCAGTCAAAAGTTTGGACACACCTACTCATTCCAGGGTTTTTCTTTATTTTTTTACTATTTTCTACATTGTAGAACTTATCCTCTGCAGCAGAGGTAACTCTGGGTCTTCCTTTCCTGTGGCGGTCCTTATGAAAGCCAGTTTCATCATAGCACTTGATGGTTTTTGCGACTGCACTTGAAGAAACTTTCAAAGTTCTTGAAATGTTCCAGATTGACTGACCTTCATGTCTTAAAGTAATGATGGACTGTCGTTTCTCTTTGCTTATTTGAGCTATTTTTGCCATAATATGGACTTGGTCTTTTACTAAATAGGGATATCTTCTGTATACCACCCCTACCTTGTCACAACACAACTGATTGGCTCAAACGCATTAAGAAGGAAAGAAATTCCACAAATTAACTTTTAACATGGCACACCTGTTAATTGAAATGCATTCCAGGTGACTACCTCATGAAGCTGGTTGAGAGAATGCCAAGAGTGTGCAATCAAGCTGTCATCAAGGCAAAGGGTGGCTACTTTGAAGAATCTAAAATCTCAAATATATTTTGACTTGTTTAACACTTTTTTTGGTTACTACATGATTCCATATCTGTTATTTCATAGTTTTGAGGTCTTCACTATTATTCTAAAATGTAGAAAATAGTCAACAAAAAAAAAAACACTTGAATGAGTAGGTGTGTCAAAACTTTTGACTGCTACTGTACGTGCTGGATGTTGGTTACTGCTACGACCCAATGACTGTCCAATCATAGACCTCCATTGCTCTTACAGTGAAATTTGGTCATAGATCTCCAATGAGAGAGGTAGAACCAATCACATCATGATGTCATGATGAACATAACATTATTTAATGGCCCTATTTAATAGCTAGATTGCAGATGAAAGAAAAACATACATCGGGTTTACTCTGAATATTTACACTTTATCTGAGGTGTTCACTGAGCAAGCTGTTCCTCATTGTCATTGTGTATTGACACAAAACCACCCATGTAAACATGCTGAGTGAACCCACAGTGCATTTACCTCCAATTGATTGAATTGGGCCCCCTGAGTACTACCATTTTATGAGGTAGTTTAATTGAGTTTACATTTCTGTTTTAATGGAGACAACCTGGTCAATATTTTATGTTCATGGTAGGTAGGCTGTCAGATTTAGCCCGAGGTGATTCTCCTCAAAAGGCTTTGAAACTGTCCCTCTCTCTCTCTGAGGTTTTTCCCTCAACCAAGTAAAGTGAGGGAAAAAAGTATTTGATCCCCTGCTGATTTTGTATGTTTGCCCATTGACAAAGACATGATCAGTCTATAATTTTTATGGTAGGTTTATTTGAACAGTGCGAGACAGAATAACAACAACAAAAATCCAGAAAAACGCATGTAAAAAATGTTATGAATTGATTTGCATTTGAATGAGGGAAATAAGTATTTGACCCCTCTGCAAAACATGACTTAGTACTTGGTGGCAAAACCCTTGTTGGCAATCACAGAGGTCAGACGTTTCTTGTACTTGGCCACCAGGTTTGCACACATCTCAGGAGGGATTTTGTCACACTCCTCTTTGCAGATCTTCTCCAAGTCATTAAGGTTCCGAGGCTGACGTTTGCAACTCGAACCTTCAGCTCCCTCCACAGATTTTCTATGAGATTAAGGTCTGGAGACTGTCTAGGCCACTCCAGGACCTTAATGTGCTTCTTCTTGAGACACTCCTTTGTTGCCTTGGCCGTGTGTTTTGGGTCATTGACATGCTGGAATACCCATCCACAACCCATTTTCAATGCCCTGGCTGAGGAAAGGAGGTTCTCACCCAAGATTTGACGGTACATGGCCCCTTCCATCGTCCTTTTGATGCGGTGAAGTTGTCCTGTCCCCTTAGCAGAAAAACACCCCCAAAGCATAATGTTTCCACCTCCATGTTTGACGGTGGGGATGGTGTTCTTGGGGTCATAGGCAGCATTCCTCCCCCTCCAAAAACGGCTAGTTGTGTTGATGCCAAAGAGCTCGATTTTGGTCTCATCTGACCACAACACTTTCACCCAGTTCTCCTCTGAATCATTCAGATGTTCATTGGCAAACTTCAGACGGGCCTTTATATGTGCTTTCTTGAGCAGGGGGACATTGCGGGCGCTGCAGGATGTCAGTCCTTCACAGCGTAGTGTGTTACCAATTGTTTTCTTGGTGACTATGGTCCCAGCTGCCTGCTGATCATTAACAAGATCCTCCCGGGTAGTTCTGGGCTGATTCCTCACCCTTCTCATGATCATTGCAACTCCACGAGGTGAGATCTTGCATGGAGCCCCAGGCCGAGGGAGATTGACAGTTCTTTTGTGTTTCTTCCATTTGCGAATAATCGCACCAATTGTCACCTTCTCACAAAGCTGCTTGGCGATCGTCTTGTAGCCCATTGTGTAGGTCTACAGTCTTGTCCCTGACATCCTTGGAGAGCTCTTTGGTCTTGGCCATTGTGGAGCGTTTGGAATCTGATTGATCGATTGCTTCTGTGGACAGGTGTCTTTTATACAGGTAACAAGCTGAGATTAGGAGCACTCCCTTTAAGAGTGTGCTCCTAATCTCAGCTCGTTACCTGCATAAAAGACACCTGGGAGCCAGAAATCTTTCTGATTGAGAGGGGGTCAAATACTTATTTCCCTCATTGAAATGCAAATCAATTTATAACATTTTTGACATGCGTTTTTCTGGATTTTTTTGTTGTTATTCTGTCTCTCACTGTTCAAATAAACCTACCATTAAAATTATAGACTGATCATTTCTTTGTCAGTGGGCAAACGTACAAAATCAGCAGGGGATCAAATACTTTTTTCCCTCACTGTATTGAATCACCTGACACAGCTCATCATCGCCTCAACTGAAGCCAGTAATCCTCCCCTTCCACTCCCTCTAGTGTGTGTGTGTGTGTGTGTGTGTGTGTGTGTGTGTGCGTGTTTATGAGAGAAGTAGGTCTGATAGGTTTTTTACTGATGTAGAGCTTGTACATGTAATCAACACAGTCACTGCTGGTGATGAGAGCACAATGAACAGTTTCAAATGAGTATATCTGTCTGTTAGTTATATATTCCACAACGGTATATTACTGAAGAAGGATTGTGTGCTTCTCTGTGTGAGGCCCTTGTCACATCACATTTATCCTACTTCAATTTCCACTGTATTATGGAGCCTGATAACCAAATTAATTTGCATAAATATAGAATAGAATAAATGATGTGCACATCTCGTTGCCGCCACTCTTGAAATAGACTTCTCAATTGTATGATTTCAAATGGAGCAAAGCCAGGAATGAACCTGCATCTTAAAACTGTTTTTTTCAGCTATGATTGATTGTATCTGTCTGCTAGTTTTATCAACAAATCCCTTTATTAATTTATGTCTATTCAAGTGTTCTATGCTCATGAATACACTGAGGCAAGAATTTATAGACAATATTTCCCATTTTGCACAGTATACCTTATGGAAATAGGACTGCTATATCTCATAATATGACTGCTTCATCCCATATTTTCATGTAATTTCTGGCCATAACAGTGAATTGGTGCCCAGAAGGCCTATCCTGTTTGAGTAAACTGATACTATGGCTGCCTTTTCTAATAATGTTGAACTAACGCTCAGGGCCTGTTTCCCAAAAGTTTCTGAAGGCTAAGTTCATCATGGTTCTAACGATGAATTTAGCCTTCAGATGTTTTTTGGAAACTGGGCCCAGTCTGTTTGTACTGTCTGTCATCCAAACTGCTTCATGCCCTCACCTTGCCTAATGACTCCATATATTCCTCTGTGTATAACTTCACATACCATGTCCTGTTACACTACAACCACTTATGCAATGTGATACTGTATTATTAGTACACACATAAATGTCAAAATGTTTCATATGTATATAAAGATAGAACCCATTTTTGACATTTTTGTGAGCATTCAACCCTGACCTTTTGACTGCATCAGTGTTATACTTTTTAAATGTCCACTATATACTGCAGAGTTTATATAGCATTCACTGCCCCTGTTTTTACCATCCAGTCAAACAGACAAAGCCATAACCCTAGCCCAGAGGCTGAGATGGGACTTACCAATGGCAACTGTGAAGTCAACAGGAAGCAGGAAGAGACGTGGCTCCTTTGTCCATCCTGTCATGTGACTTATGGGCTTCCCTTTGTCATCCTATGCCTGGGCTCATATAAAGGGGGCTGGGGAGGCAAAGGGACACCCAGTCGTCATAACAGCATCTCAACCGATCATACATAGCGTAATTAACAACATCCTAATATACAGACCATCCTCAACCAACTCACCATCCCCAAATCAAGCAGTATACTATCCACAAACCATTCTAAACCAAAACAGTAACCATCACTAAATTAACAGCATCCGAACGGACCATTCTTAAAATAAACCTTGATTTCTGTCTTTTAAAGCCTTGATGCATTTAATTCGTTCAGTTGTTAGAAAAGCTTCCCACCGGTTTGTTGAGTCACACTGTTGGTTTACTGCTCACCTACCAGCAGGGGCGGTGTGTTCAATAGGGCGATATGGGCGACGCACTGCCAAACGGGAAAAGGAAGGGATTTTTTTTCTAATCAATTATATCACGGCAACAGTAGTTATCAGTGTTGTAATCTAGACGTCTGATCTGCCACAGTGCCACTAAATGTCCAATCAGGCTAAAGTCGTGCTTCAAATGCCCCCCCCCCCCCCTTTTGGGGCGATTTCAGTCAGGTTGAAAATCACCCAGAAGTCTGTCATAGACTCCCATGTAAAATCAATTTTTTTCAAATATCAGAGCTTTCAATACAATCTCTATGGGTTTCTGAGGGCTTGCACTTACGCGCTTTTGTCATACGTAACGTAACCATGAACGTAACTA